AAAATACTGGTAATACTAAATAGGGCAAACGAGCCCAAATATAATTACTAAACACGACTACATCCTTTAGTACACAATTGCTACTATCTACGAAAATAATTTAGTAAACAAGCCGCAAGATAAAAAACGCATATGAATACATAACCTCAAACTTAGTGCATGTCGATCGAATTTTTTTAAAAACAATGGATAACTTTTGAGGTTATGGCACTATGAGTCTTTTGATGCGTGAGGTTGTGTTATATCCCACATAAATTTATGTTTATTATCTACACTATTAATTTATTGATATCTCAATATCGCATGTCAAAATGGTTGATTGATATAATGTTATAAATATATGCGTTTCATATCAACGAAAATTATGCAACAATTTTAATCTTGTAGAAATATTGCAGAAATAAGACAGCTAAAATGTAACATTTTTGTATAAATTTATACTGTAATTTTTTACAGTTATTTTGTATTGTGTATTACTTTTTTGTAGTTTTTCTGTTACATGATCTGCAATGACATAAATGACGACAGATCTTGGCTTAACACGTCAAACCATTTTGACATGTACCAACATATAAGATTAGCTACTGTGGTTATTATGTGGGATAAGTGGTTCACTCTAAAATCGTTGGTCAATCGGCTTTGTATGCTTGCGGGTAGTTTTTGTTAGTTCTGTCAAAAATATTAATGTTCAGGCTGATGATTGTCTTTTAGAGTAAACCACGAGTGTTTCACCAACTGTGTTGTTATATTATATTGTTCTTGGATCATACAAACCATCGTGAATATATGTTATATTTGTAAAATAATTTGTTTTATTTGTAATGTTTGCTATAATCAATTAATTATTTTTCTGCGAAATCAAGCATTAATGAATGTATAAAAAATATAGGAATTATAATTTTTTTCCTTTTCTATACAACCTTAAAAATTAGTCATTTTTCTTTTTGTAGATCTTTATTAGTATTATTATAGTTTTTGCAATAATGTTTTAGAGATTTTTAGTAGTATAAAGCAAAAATAAAAACTAATATAACGTATATAAAAAATTACTTACTTATGGTTTCGTTTCACGACAGATAATCCTAAAAGTACACCACAATCGAAAAAAAACGCCGTTATAGCGCCCTTTGGAATGGTAATCGAGGATAGTTTCTGTCGGACAGATGCCTATACGCCATTTTTCAGCCTCCTGACATAAATCAGTTTACGACAAATATTTTTTTTGAAACGTCAAAAAAAAGTATTAATTTTTGCGACGTGATTGACAATATGACAAGTCATTTTAACGCCTAGGCATAAAAGTAAAGCACTTTTACGCCTAAGCATAAAAGTACGAAAATATATTATTAAACTGACATAAAGTGTCAAATTCAACGAGCGTATAGTTTCTCGATATATAATTATTACATACAAGGTATTACTTTTAAATCTTTTTATATTATTTGGAACGTTTGAAATTGTTTAAAAAATTATTTGTGGCGTTTGAAAAAAATAGCATGTTCTATTCGGAGGAAGAATGACTTTATGTGCCTCGGCTGTTTGTCGGACCTGCTAACGTTCGTCTATCAAACGTACAGCCTCGCCATGAAAGTGTCATTTTTACTCCTAATAAAACAATTGTGATTTGCATGTGAATGTGTGTCTGGAAACTTTTCTCTATTTAAACATTATTTTTGACTGTTTTTAATAAATGACATAGGCGTCACGTCAGGCAAACATTATCATTGGATTATCACTTCAAAGGTCACTTTGACGCCGTTTTTTTTCGATCGTATGTATTTAATTCTATCAATATTACTTTAAAGACTTCTTTAATAAACTTTGATATTTATTCAATCGACATAAAAAATATCGATCATGGACATGTATTAAATTTTAAATTTTCGATACCATATGCCATATCCTAAAAAATATCGATAATCAAACTCATCCCTATATAATTTTTATATAGCACCAAATTTAGTTGGTTCTTCAAAGGTCATCGATAGTCAATCAGTTTTTCATCAAAAAATATATACTTAAAACCAGATAAAACAAACTGTTAATAATTATCGATACGAAATACCATATACCATAAAATTATCGATATCGATAAGTGAGCCCATCCCTACACAATTGTTACATAGCAATACATTTTTTTAGTTGGTTAAACACATAATATATCGACGTTAGTTTGTACGATCCAGACTAAATGGTAGACAAAAATAATTAATAAAGGTGTGATTAATTAATATAAAGATAGTACAACGTAAATGTTAGTGATGTAGTAGTGATCAAAACGTACCGCTACCCCATAATTCTAGCAACGTTCCCGCGCGGGTCCGGCGTATCGAACTTTTCCATTTGGGTTAGTCGGGTTGGCTTTATTTTGGACAACGGGTGACTCGTGTGTGTTAGCACCTTCGGTAAAGCTGGGCCCAATGGGTTAACAAGAAAAGAAAGAAAAACAGATTTTGTTAGTATTTTTGTGTGATCTCTCTTAGCTATATTACTTAAGATTAATTTTATTATTTGATTGTACGAGCACAAGATTATCATTTTTTTTACTAGTAGTTGTGTCCTCATGTACCTCTTTTCTTTGCGTCATTTACTTTTTATATAAGATTAATTTATTTAGAATTTGAGTCATTTATAGAAACACAATGATTTAAGCACTGTTTTATTGTGTTTGAAAGTTTAACAAACAAAAAAATGTAAACAGTCCAAAAAAGTTTTAGACCTTCCTGTAATTTTATTAATAATAAAATAAATAATTTAAAATATACCGGGTTCGTCTGATAAGTGGCTCACCCCTATAACTTCTTTATTTTTTCAGATAAAAAACGAGATTTGGTAAGTTAGTTTATGACATAAATTAGGATTGATTGACGTATTCAATTGTTTTCTGTCACTTCCTGTTTCACCGGAAATGACTACAACTTTTGGTTTTTAAATAGCACCCTGGGTATTTTTTTACTTTATTCGATAGAAAATTACACTCCGAATAAAATCATATATTATAAAATATATTATGTCATTTGATTTATTTGAAATTGTAACATGCGGTTCGTAACGACAATTTGAGTCGAAATACCAAATGTGTGGTACCAAATTATTCGTAAAAAAATGCTTTTTCCAAATATGCTGATGAGCCATCCTCGTTCCAATTGAAAAAATTGAGATATGATCAAAAATACGATTTGGGCATCTTTTAACCGGCCAGGACAAGACATAAAAATATTAGACAATCAAATCTATTGTTCCAAGTCTTCCCTTGATTAAAAATTAGTGTTTTCAACACAACCATGGCATTCTATATTGAATTTTAAAATTAAAATATAATCTTTTTAAGCGAGAATGTCAAAAGTTGACATATGTCATTCTATTTAGAGTGTCATTTTCTATCGAATAAATTAAAAAATACCGGGGATGCCATTTAAAAATCAAAAGTTGTAATAATTTCCGATGAAACAGGAAGTGACCGAAAACAATTGAATACGTCAATCGATCCTAATTTATGCCATATACTAATATAATAAACCAAATGTAGTTTTTTTATTTGAAAAAATAAAAAAAGTTATAGGGGTGAGCCACTTTTGAGACGCACCCGGTATATTAGAATATTTTTCTAGTAAAATTTTCTTTGTAATACAACTTTATACAGGGTGTCTTAAATCGTGTGTTTTAATTTTAATTTTCGTTATTTATTGTGCAGAAAATTAAAATTATTGTGAATATATAAACACATAAATATACAGAATATAGGTACCGTAGGAAATGACAACATTGCAAGGCTTCAAAACACCGTCAGGAAATTTCAGGAAAATGAACCTGCGGCACTAAAAAGTTTTCTTTTAAATTTCTAGGAAATGCTTAAAAATTATAAAATTATCAACAATTTTTTTGTGATATTAATAGAGTTATGTATTTTATTTTCAATTGTTTTACTTTTTTTTAGAAAATTTCCTTTATTAGTACAAGTTATGAAGATATAACTAAAATTATATTAAGATAAAACATAATAAAAGTTGTAAATAAGAAAAAAATGTTCCTAAAATTGATTCAAATGAAAAATGAATTAATCTTTCGATAATGTGCTTGTTGTACGATGTCTTAACTTAAAATATGCGTGTGTTAGTCACTTCAAAAGATTATTTGATGTTGTCGGAAGATGAGGATACAACTACATCCTACAAAATATTAATCGACTATGAACAGACCTAAAAATAACCAAGGTGAAGCAAAACATTTTTTTTTCATCTATAGTGCGTCTCTCAAAAAATTAATCAAGCTGTAATGTGTTATTTTTCAAGCTAAATGTATAATATAAAACCTTACTGATTGCTTTAGTTTGTCACAAAACACTATACTACCTGTAGATCTATATCAAAGAGGAGAAAAAATAGATAATAATTTTTTTAGCCTTATAAAAAAATATGAAATAAAATTGAATTTACATAATTATTTTTAATTTTAAGATATTTTTAATGAACAACATTTTAGAAAAAAATCTTATTTTTTCTCCATTTGATTTTCTAGTAAGGATATCCAAGATGATCCTAATGTTCATATGAGCGATATATGAAGATATAAATACATATCTGGAAAGAATTTTGGTAATGTCCATTCATGCTGTCTTGGTTATTCCTATTCCATTCACTCATAAGGAGGAAATTAAAAAAAAAACAGGTACTTGGCCATGTGTGGAATTAGATAGTTTTAAATAAATTAGTTGTATGTGTGTTAATATTGCAAAAATAGTTAATATTAAATTAATAAGTACTAGAATACGAGTTAGATACTAAGAAAATTTCAAGGTGATTATTCAATTTACTTAACGTCAATAGACAGCCATCACACAAAACCAGAATAGATGGCGTTAGTGCGGGAATACGACAGCTGTCTAATGACATTAAAGTCTGATTTCGAGTTAATTCGAGTGCCTTAATTTTCGAAAGTTGTGTTAAAGGTATAGAGTGATTAAAAAAACGCGTAGATTTATCGAAATAAAAAAGTCTAGCTGAGATTTTCGTATAAATATATTTTCCACATTGGCGCAAGTCAACAACATATACAAAAAATATAAGTAAAATCTAATAATGTAAACGACTTAAAAAACTAACTAGATCTAATAAAATAACGACGATTCTGTGAGAGTTTTTTAAAGAAGATCTTATTTTAAATATGTGATGTTAAAAGATATATAATATAATCTACGTGGATTAAAGAAATATCAAAATTGTTGGCACAAAAAATGTATATTAGAGAAGGACTAGATGGCACAGATAAATTTCAATACACAAAAATCTCTTTTGTGGCTTATAGTCTGAGCCTAAAACACAACATATTTTTTATTATATAAAACTATCGATAAAATTAAATAAAATAGTGGTACCTCGAAATCAAATGAAATTTTGAAGATATCTCTCTCTGATTCTTCGAACTTTAAATATACATACAACCAGACTTATATGGAATCACTCTTTATGTCTGACTAGACTTTTTGCAGAGGAAAAAATGTTATACTACTTTAAGATAAGACTTTGTTGTAAATAAACATGATAATAAGGAATAAACGACCGCTCTGATTTATTTTCTTGTGGATTTCATTCGATCAAAGAAAATAAAAAATGCCTTATTATGTTGGATTAACAGATGTACAGAAGGGAAGAATTATTGCTTTCACCGAACAAGGAACGTCCCAAAGGGACGTAGCAGAGATAGTAGGCGTTACCTAGGGTGTTGTATCGAAAACATATAAAAGGTACTTGGAACTAGGAACTCTCATGAACAGGCCCAGACAAAGTCATCAAAGAGTCAGAACTGAACAACAAGACCGCTTTGTGTGCCAGATTGCTAGAAGAAATCCCAATGTTTCTCATCAGAGCTACAAGGACAACTTCTGGCAGCTACAGGTTGAACGTTTCAGTTGAAACCATAAGAAAAAGGCTTCGTGATCGAGGGTTGTACAGTCGGAGGGAGTTACGGGTTCCACAGTTATCTCGGCAAAATAAAATTGACCATCTAAATTGGTGCCTTCAATAACATCAAAACTGGAAAATTGAGAATTGGCAAAATGTTCTTTTTTCGGATGAGACCAGAATTGCCCTAAGATTAGATGACCATCGAATTCGGGATCTCAGAGCTCCAGGAAGACGAGCGAAGCTCCAGGTTGCCAAATCTGTACCAAAATATAAAGGATCAATGTTCTGGGGAGGTATTATGCTGGAAGCAAAAACTCCATTGTTACCACTTCGGTCGGAGGTATGTTGATTTAGTGCACGAAACAATCGTTAGGCTTTGGAGAGCTGCAATTCGGGATAATGTTAACTTCATGCACGATGATGCACTTCCCCATACCAGCAGAGTGGCTAGAGAATGTCTTGAAACGGAAGGTGTTATAGTTTTGGACTGGCCTGCTTGTTCACCAGATCTAAACCCTATCGAACACTTGTGGGAACCAGCACAAAAGCCAGGAAATCTCGCACAGTTTATTGATACAGCATTAGCAGTATGGGAAAACATACCCCAAGACAACGTTAGATAATTTAATAAGAAGCATACCAGCGCGGATAGAAGCTTGCATAAGGGCTATTTTGTTTTTGCTTTTCATCCGATAAAAATTTAAATCTCATTTCGTTTCAGAAACCAAAACATACCATTGTGTTTATTTTGGGAACTGATTAATTTTTTTCCGTTGCTATATGGATTATTTTTCATTAAAAGTCTTTGGTACGGATTGAGTTTTATTAAACACAAAAGTTTCTTATGACTCAAAAATTATGATGATAGATGATTCCATATAAGTTTGCTTGTGTGGACACGAAAATCATCAATAAGAATAATAATTTAAAAATCCGAGGTACCACTGTGCATGTTTAATAAATTATATGTTATTTCAACGAAACTAACAAGTACGGTATTATTCAATAATTGTGACTAGATTTACGAAAAAATAATTCAATTCTATTAAATTTCCTATCCTATTATTGTAGTCGCCTGTTTTTAATGGTTATGGTTACTTTCTATAGTAGATTATAAGATGTGTATCATAACTTTTCAGATTGTGACTCTCACAGAACCATTTCTAAACATACCTTAAATTTGAGAGAAGTGCAACTAACAGAAAATTTTCTAGTAAACTAGTAATTGAATAAAACGTCCTTAAGTTCTATGAACTGTTAGGGACGTCAGAAGAAATGCTACACGTAAGATATTGTTCTTTATATGAACAAGAAGGATCTTCGCAAACCTTACTAACTGGGTATAATAAAAAGATAATGTACATAAAATACAGTAGGTAGAAAATGATGTAAATATACTTTTTCTTTATTTTTGGACTAGTATCACACCGGGTGTGATTATGAGGTACTCGAGTTAGTTCCTATTTGGGAGGTTATTAAACGTATTTATAACCTCCCTCACTATACACAGGGGGTTTATATTTAAATAAATACAATATTTAATAAATAATAATCAACATTATATATCATATAATATTAATTATGATACGAATTCAGTGGTCTTGGTAAATAATACCCCGTACAAAATCCTACACTATCGACTGTAGATTTCAAAAGCTAAACGTATTTATGTTTAGTATTTAAAAACTAGATCATATAATAATTATTGGTAACTCTTACGTACTGAAAATGTATTATATGTAAAATATATTACTTAGAGACGAGAAATCCTTCTTGTTCATGGAAATAATAAATTATAACTATTGTGTCGTTTATAACGGTTAACACACAAAAAAGAGATGATTTATCTTGAAACGATAACCCGTTGAAAATACTGTTTGTCAATAATTGAATAATAGAGAGAATTTCATATAAACGTAAACCCCTAGAAAGAAACAACCTGGAACGGTCGGCAACGTCGCAAAAAACAAAATATCATCGACCAGTACAAGTCTGTCACGTTATAGTCTACAATAAGACAATCTTTTAGTAACTAAACTACATAAAAGAACTAAACTTATCGTAAAATATATCGATACATGACAGACTCCTCCCTATAGATTCCGGAAAAAACCTATAATAAATACGTGTAAAGAAACCAACTAACCTTCTCGCAGAGCCACTCTAAGAGAGTGCTCCCGCCCTCTGGTAGGGGTGCTCTCTAATTTGTCCAAGATGGCGACGTTGCTTAGCAACCGCCGACGCACCTGCGCATACAAAACGGTTATGACCTTGAGATTCATGGCAGGGAGGGGCTTAGCCTCACCACTCTCGCCGATTAAGTGGGGGGAGCGTCAAAATTTGCTAGAGAGGGGGGAATTGAATCAAGTAAGAATATTATAAACTTCAGATTTCAGTTAAAGAAGGTTTCAGCGAATATATTTTGTCTTATATTTCTTTTATAGAGATATTGACTAAAATTTCTACTACTAATTAAAGTAGTATAGTAAGATTCATGAAATAAGAATAAAAAAAGTATTTTTTTGTGTCATCTTTTCTATAACAGAAGATTTCTTTTTGAAATCTTTATATACACTCTCAAATATGGCACTAGTAATATCCACACCTAAAAATAGCAAATTTTGACAGTCCCCTAACTAGATAAAAGTGAAAAAATAAAAAAACACAATATAATATATACAATATCCTAAAATACTACACTGTAGCTACACTCTAAAGTGACTTATAAACAATTAAAGCATTTTAAAAGTATTTTAAAACTACATCAGCAATTTTTTCCAAAGTATATGTACACAAAATAACGTTTGACAATTTAAAAAAAAACTTTTTTGATCTCCTGTTTAAATGCAGTTTTTATAAATAAAAATATCTAGTCTCTAATATGTGAATAAAGTGTACGAAGTACGAGACTAATAATACAGGGTGTCTGTTAAATAAGTGTAAGTATTTTAAGAGGTAGTAGATCTGGACAAAAGAAACATTCTTTTCTATTTAGCATTTTTAAAATAAATTGAATATAACTAATTTTGAAATGATACCTATCTTAATATATAACGATTCTAAACTAATTCGGTGTTTTTTTATGAAAAAATGTAAATAAACAAAGCCATCTTGTTTTGAATGACGCAAATTAATTTTTACATTTTGAGAACCGCCGAAATTTTTATTATTAATCGTTTTTTTTTTCAAATTAACATTTTGAGAACCGCCGAATATGCTTGAAAATATGGCGATAATAGTACAAAGCAATGTTGCCAATGTTAAGAAATACAATGCACCGCGTTAAGAAATTTCAGGAGAATGATTCTGCGCCACTAAAAAGTTTATTTAAAATTTTGCGGCAAATTTAAAATTTTCAACATTTTTTTTGTCACAATAAAACTTATGGGAACGTGTTTGTTGTCAAAATCTACTACCAGATAAAATACTTACTTATTTACACGAGACACCCTATATATTCGTGTAATATTTATTAAAATCTAAAACAACCTAACTTAAGTCCTTTATAATAAAATGTACGCGTTTGAAAATTTCTAAGAAATTTCTTTTGTTTATAGCACCAATACTTTCAGCTTTTTTAACACTTTTCAAGTGCTGAATATGTAAAAATAAATTGTTTAAAACAAATTAAAGAAAAACCTGACTAAAAGAAGTAAAATTGACCAGATTTCGTACGTAAGAGAGTAGAAAATATATAAAGCTTATTTTTATATGTTTTTTTTAACTTAAGTAACTAAAAAAAATTAAATATGGAGGTTTTCAATGTCATCTGAGTTTAGTACGGAATAAACAACAAATTCCATTTCCTTTTGTTGTAAATCTAAATTTAAATTTGCAAAGGTTTTGGTCACGGTTAAATTCATGCCCCAATTGCTAGGTCATGTTTATTTCTTTCCATTTCCGCAAATAAAATTTTACAAAAGCTGCATAATTTTTTTATCTCCTACAATAGAAAATGCATACTTCTTAGCTGACTCGAAAACCCTATTAATTAAAATAAATAATATATGACTTGCGTATAACTTTCTCTCTCTCTATAATATACATAGATATAATATATAAAAAAAGTGTAAAATAAAAAATTTAAATAAAAATAATGATCTTGAAGATATCGGAAAAAATATTATATAGTACACACATAAACGATTGTAACCTGAACGGTCAAAAATTATCACAGAAATATAATAATCATAATAATAATAAAAAAATTGTAATATAATTCTGACTAAGCAATATGCGGACGCCCCTGAGGTCTCAAAGAGCGGTACAACAGAACCAATTCTACTTGACCTAACTTTTTTATTACTATCCTTTTTAAAGAACTTAATAAGAGATAAAGGCTCGGATAAAGAATCGTATTGACCTCACCGTGGGCGTCCCGATTAAAAAAAATATACCCTAAACCTATTAACAAGTCGTACGAAAACGGAAGATTATGCGTGACACAGTGCCGTACCGGTAAAGGGAAAGACTAAAAATAATAAAATAGGTATTTATACGACTAATATGATAAATAGATCGTTCCCTTTAGGTACTTTACTCCCCAATTTTCGGTGTGCAGTAAGGTTGTGTCATAATTATGGGGTGGCGCTCCCCTGGTGACGAGACGACAGTGGCTTACGCTGGTTAAACATTAAATCGTAAAAGATTTTTAATTTGATGTTAATTTAGATTTGACTTTCACAGTTAAAAAACTTTGATCTCATATATTGTATATACAATGTATGTAAAACATTATATAACCCAGACAATGACTAAAGAATACAATGTCAAGTAACGCCCATATACTGGCTGCAGCAGAATTTGTGATGTTATATAGACGCCATTTTTTTGGCTGTAACGAAGGAGTCATCAGTTGGTCATTAGCGACAATTTTAGCGATGTTTACTAGGTAAATAATAAACTATATAGGCTAGGATAGGCAAATAAACAGTCCACTCCAGTTTTTTAGTGTTTTGTTATTGAATTCGATAATTATTATTTTTCTAATATTCTATGTATTTGTTTTCTACCTTTTGTTAACATTTTAAAACGTTTTTTTCGTAATTAATTAGTATGATACCACCATAAACACCATAGGCGTAGTCAAAACATTTATTAAAAATATAAATATTTCTTCAAGCAGCCATGTTAAGAAAAATATGTGCTACGGCACTGTTTGGAGGTATGGTAACGATTTGGTCTCGGGTGTTATGTGTCCTTGTATTCTTTAGTCATTGAACCCAGAACTACAATAATAAATAATTGTTTAATTTATAAAGATATAATTAATTACCTAATCTTAGATCAAGAGATTTTTATTTATTTTTAATTTTAAGACTATGTTTATTTTTTAACACATCTGTAATACCTTTTGAACAATCATCTTTTAAAATAATTACTTTTCTTTATTACAGAAAGTTCGAAAAATGCACACGATACAATGTGTAAATTGTATATCTATATATAAGGTGAGTCTTAAATAACTGCAAATATTTTCAGGACTGGTATATCTTGATAAAAGAAACATATTTTCTCTTTACCATTTTTCAAATAAGTCCAAAATAACCGAGTTATTTAAGTTTAAAATTTAAAAAGTTGAAAAAAAGTCGAAAATTTAAAAAAAATTGTTTTTTTTTGGAAAAATTTTGAGAGCCACCGGCTTTTTTCTGTATTTGCATCCCTTTTAGTGCTGTAACCATAGAGTAAAGCCGTAACTATGGTAATATCTGAGATTAAGGAATTATACCGTGGGAAAATTTGCGGTGAACAGGCAGTTCTAAAAAGTTTTCGAAAAATATACAGGGAAATTTAAAAGAAAATGCACGATTTTCAACATCTTTTTTTTGCGAAAAGAACCTCATAGACGTGTTCCTGTGGTCGAACTATACCACCCCTGAAAATATTTGCACTTATTTAAGACTCACCCTGTATAAGTATGTATATAAATGTCAAAAAATTCTGTTGAAGTATTTACTAGGGTTCAGAACCGGGAAATCCCGGTCTCAGAACATTTTCCAGACGTAAGCCAGTGGCGTACGCGAAATTTAACATACATTTTAACGTATGTTTTTATACGTTTGTCGGCTCTAGGTCACCTGTTGACGTAGAAATAGTAGACGGGAGCGCCAGCGCGTGGGATACACGTAAAAATTGGGGACGCGAGTCAACGGGCGAACAACCCACCCGAATGGTCGGCAGTGGCGTACTCGGTGAGCAGCGGACTGGCGGCCAGCGCCGTGTAATTCGTGTAGTCGGCGTAGGGGGCGTAGATCAGTCCGTGGGGATCACCGGGGGACAACAGTGACCTGGAATCGAAATAATATGAACTTAAATGACAATTATAATTGTTTTTTTAATTAGTTTGAAATTTTCAAAAAACCACTGAATAAAAAGACTAAGGAAGGTGCATTACAATTAAAAATTTGTCTACAGGGTGTTTCAAAAAACATGTGCCATCTCTCGGGAGATTCCTCGCGTAAAAATAGGATTTATTTTTCATATCAACAACATAAGTCCGATTTTGCTTTGTTGCGTAGCTACAGGGTGTTAAAGTCTTAATATTTTTTCGATTTATTATAATTTTCTTCCAAGTACTTTATGAAATTTTTTGGGTCAAAGTTACTATAAATGCGACATATTTTAAAGCTAAAAAAGTGTTGACATATTCACCAGCGACGTGCATATGGGTTATCAATGGAATATTTATCTAAAAAAGCATGTACGCCACTGACTTTTGTTTTCTCTTGATAGCGAAAGAGTGTAAGTAGTTTAATGCCGATTAAAAGTTGTCTCTCGATATTTTGTCGATTTCGGCCTCCTGGATGAGATAAACGCAATTTTATTAATTTGCCTTGATCCAAGTTTAATAGCAATCTTAAAAAAAATAATCATATGTAATTATATATTTAATCAAAGTACTCATTGATTTCTCATCAAGAAATATGAAAAATGTTTCTATAAACATGGGTATGGAAATACATAATTTTAGAGTTACAGGATGTTAAAACTTTTTAAAATTCGTTTTTTTAAATTATTTTGAATACCATTATTTTTTTATTTGAAATTGCTGTAGGTTGAGTTAATAGTAGTAATAACTAATAGTAATAATATTTAATAATAAATTAGGTAAAATATTTAATTTATTAATTTTATTTTTATTTTAATTTTATTAATTGATTAATAATATTGCGTTTATCTCATTAAGGAGGTCGAATTCGACATAACACCAAGATATAACTTTTAATTGGCAATAAACGGTCTACACAATTTTGATATCAAAAGAAAAAAGTCAGTGGCGCACATGTTTTTTTTTTGAAAAATATTCCAGTGATAACCTATATGCACGTCCCTGATGAATATGCCGACACTTTTTTAGCAATAAAATATATAGCAGCTATAGTAACTTTTACCCTTAAAATTTCATTCGAATGGCTAGAAGTACTTGGAAGAAAATTATAATAAATTGAAAAAATATCAAGACTTTAACACCCTGTAGCTACGAAACAAAGCAGAATCGGACCTATGTTAATATAAAAAATAAATCTTATTTTTAAGTGAGGAATCTCCCCACGAGAGATGGCATATGTATTTTGAAACGCCCTGTATAAAGGTACGTCTATAGTGCACCGGCTTTCCGGTGGCCGACTTATTTCGCAGCAGATCTTATTGCTTTGTGAATTGAAACTAGTAGCTGCCATTAACAACCGCTTGCAGTCATTAACAACCGCTTGCAGTCAAAATCGGGAATGTCAATTTGGTGAACGAGCTGCTAGTCATTTTATTAACCGTGTTTTTCATCCATTCCCAAACTATATCTACTCACCCTGGTGGCGCAGATCCGTTGAGTATGCTAGCTGCTGTCGTGGGCACCGACATCCTGGGACTTAGGATAAGTGGTGCTCCGAGGGGAGTGGCGGGGGCTCTCAAAGTGGTAGGCAACCCGGGTATGGCCGGCGAGAGGAGGCGCTGAGTTTCCGCAGCGGCCACCACCCGCCGCCATTCTTCGTCGCAGGCTGCAAGAGAGGATAGATCTGGGTCAGTAGTGACTGAACTTAGGACAAGGTTGGCCGGAAATAATGATGGTACTACTCTTAGATCTTATAACCTACGTAGGCAAGTAATGGCTGGTTCATACTTCTAAACTCTAACATTAACATTAACAGTCCTAATCTTAAGAATATGAATCAACGTAAACGAATGTCAACGTTCATGCTTGAAAAAATATCGTCATCTTAAAATTAGCCTTAAACAAGAACTACCTACACAACAACTACCTATACATATCTACAACTTTTTGTAGGTATGTATATCTATAATTTTTCCAAATTTTAAAATGATATTGTCGTAGTTTCAGGATCTTCATAAAAACAGAAAAAGGTTGTTAAATAAATATCTCCGTTTACACCAAAAGCATTTAGGAATTATATACCGGGTGTGTCTCAAAAGTGACCCACCCCTATAACTTTTTTATTTTTTCAGTTAAAAAAAAACGAGGTTTGGTATGTTAGTATATGATATAAATTAGGATTGATTTGACGTATTCAATTGTTTTCCGTCACTTCCTGTTTCACCGGAAATGACTACTACTTTTGATTTTTAAATGGCACCTTCGGTATTTTTTTACTTAATTCGATTGAAAATAACACTCTGAATAGAATGATATATCATGTCAACTTTTGACATTTTCGCATATGGTTTATTTGAAAGTATGGTTTATTAGAAAATTTGACTTGAAATACCTACCAAGTGGTATCAAATTATTCGTAAAAAATGCTTTTTCCAAATAGCATATTTAGCATTATATTATTATTATTAGCAAATACCGATGAGCCACCCTCGTTCCGTTTGAAAAAATTGAGATACGATTAAAAATACGATTTGGACATTTTCTAACTGGTCAGGATAAGACACTAAAAACATTAGACGATCCAATCTACTTTTCCAAGGCTCCTTGATTAAGAATTAGTGTTTTTAACATAGCCATGGTACTCTAGATTGAAATTTAAAATATAATTTTTTATTAAGCGAGAATGTCAAAAGTTGGCATATGATATGTCATTCTATTCAGAATGCCATTTTCTATCGAATAAAGTAAAAAAAACGAGGGTGCCATTTAAAAATCAAAAGTTGTAGTCATTTCCGGTGAAACAAGAAGTGACCAAAAACAATTGAATACGTCAATCAGTCCTGATTTATGTCATATACTAACGTACCAAGTCTCGTTATTGTATCTGAAAAAATAAAATAGTTATACAGGGTGAGTCTTAAATCAGTGCAAATATTTTTATGGGTAGTATATTTCGACCCCAGAAACACTATTATGAGTTTTTTGGCGAAAAAAAAATTTGAAAATTTGGAACTTTTTGAAAAAAAATTTGGAAATTTTTTTAGTTAAAAAACATAATTTGTTGGTAATATGGCATCATAGGTAGTAGATTAAATTTACAAGAAAGAAAATCCAGAAAAGATCCAGTTGTTCTCAAAATTTTAGCACAAAATCATTTTTTTTTTGGAAATTTTCAAAGTAAAATATCTCGGTTATTTTGGACTTGTTTGAAAAACGGTGAAGGAAAAATATGTTTCTTTTATATATCTACCAGCCTTAAAAATAATTGCACTTATTTAACACTCACCCTGTAGAGACTTCCGTCTAATTATATTAGTTGCCCGAGTCTGATGCAATATGACTCATACATTAGTCTGTTATACAATAATGTATAATGTTTATTAAAAACGGCTCATATATATATGGGTATACATGTATACATACTAAATTTTGTTCTTAAAATGCTTTAGATTTGTTTACGCACCATAAAACCTGATTAACAAGTTGGTAAATTTTTATATAATAAATCACTCCAAAATAACCTGAAATATGACTCTCCTAACGGTGCTTTTCAAGATAGATATTGTTTATTTTGTTTTCATAAAAGCGACATCACCTAGAAACGTGCTACCTTAAAACAATATTATAATTCTAGAAAACAGTTTAACAATGGGTATATATAATATATGGTATAAAAAAATATAAAAACGATGTTAAAAAGATTTTAAATACGTTCAGATACACCATCATGGCTTCGAAGCATTTCCACTCCTTACTGTATACTGTACAAAATGAAGATTTGGTTTGGTTGTTAAAAACTTATTTATTAAAAAGGTTTATTTACGAAAATCGTATATTATTATTCTATAATGAGCTGTAGTATTTCATTAAATTATATATATTTTTTGCCACACCAATTTTTATAGAAAAATTTATAAATTTTTATCTGCTGATATATGCTTTTCCTTTTAAGATCCTCAAACTAAAGCGAATAATGTTCTCAAATCTGGAAAAAGAATTATAAGGATTAAGGATTATTATTAATTAAAGGACAAATCAAACTGTAAATGAATAAACAGTTTATTCACATTTTTCTTGTACCTAAAATAATAATAATAATAAATGGCCTTTATTTATTTATGTTACAAAGGTTTAGGTCAAAACAAATCGATGCAAGTATATGGTTTGGTTTGATGATAGGCTATCATTTATGTCTATGGATCGAACTAATTTGATAAATTTCCAGATGTAAAACCTCTTTAGTTATTGAGAATTATGTTATAATCCCGTCCTCATTTTAATCAAATTTGTAATATTAGTTTAGGAATGTCCCATCTCTAATAAAAACCTTCATACCTTTGAGGTCATAAACGACCCTACAATATAATTCTAATTGATAACTTTAACTATTACTGTTGGGAATTTTGATCATAAATTTATATAGCTTTCGCAGACGTCTGTCTATCTGAACAATGTAAGTTTAGGGCAGTGTCGTCCACTGCTCTGAATATTAGATTAAGGATATATAAATTGTACTGTACGCCTCTGGCATTTCTGTAGCTTAGATATTATTTAAGGAACTGCAAGACAGGCCCTCACATCTCTTTGCTAAAACCCTGTTTCAGTCACATACTTCTTTTGCTCAACACTCTTTTACTTTTGCTCTTCAACTCTCTTTTTACTCTTCAACACGTTATTATTTTTCACAGTTTCCCTCAGAGTAACTATTGTAATTAGTTTATCATAATTAAAGTTAAGTTATATTAAAAAACAACAGTGTACATTAATTCCACACCCGAAAAGACCCTCAACAAGTTGGCCCTTCTGAAGAGGACCACAACAAAAATTGGCGCTGCGGACAGGACGGGATAGTACGGGACAAAAGGATTCTCAAGGAGGAAAAACAGGAAACTGGTCCAGGAGAATACCGTTGGTAAGTGGAATTTGTATATCTTGTTTAGATTTTGTATCAAACGTTTTATATAACTTACTAGTATTTTTTTTAACTCCGTTAAAAAGTACTTTACTAAATTTTATTAATCATTTTTTAACTAAATTTATTAACAAAATTCATCATGAATACCAATTCAAATATCGATTCACTATCGTTAGATTTCATATGTAGGTTGATTCCTTTCGGATTTAGCGGTGATAGAAACGAATTAGGACAATTTTTGGCAAATTGTAATAGTGCTAATGAGTTAGCCAGTGAAAATCAAAAATTACCTCTATTATATTTTATATTATCAAGAATATCAGGTACAGCAAAAGAGCAACTAACATCACAAAGCTTCGAATCTTGGGAAAATTTACGACAAAAGTTAAAAGATTTATATAGAGAGAGAAAACATTATGTCCAATTAATAGAAGAACTAAATAACTGTAGACAAAATTTTAATGAATCCGTAGACGATTTCTTTCAACGTTTAGAAGTTTTATACCATCGTACGATTTCTTCTGCTCAGCAGAGTTGTCGAAACGATGCCGAATTACCGGGTAAAATTCAAACAATACGCGAATTAACTTTAAACAGATTCATTTACCATTCTAAACCAGAAATTTCACAAATGTTAAGATATAAAGGATTTAATTGCATTAAGGAGGCTCATAATGCTGCCCTCTGTGAAGAAAGGATATTAAATATGTTAAAAACTAATAAAAGCAACCAATACTGTAAAATATGTCGTAACAATTCGCATTCTACAAATAATTGTCGTAAAAATTATACGCAATCTAATGGAAATTACCGAGTTCATGTTAACAATTCTAATAAATCTAATAATCATAACTTTAATCATACATTTAATCAACCTTCTTCAAATAGTCAACATAATAATATTAAACAATGCAAATATTGTAAAAAGTACGGACATACAATAGATGAATGTAGGAAATTGCAATATAAAAATTCTTACAATGTATTTAACAAAAACAAAAATCCTAATGATATACAAAATAAAAATTTTAACAGGGTATCGAATCAGAATATACCTAATCAAATACCAAATGAAGTATCAAATATTCATTCATTCACAGATACTCAATCAAACTTAAAAATTCTCAGTGACGATAATAACTCTATATTTTTAGAACTTAAGTCTCATTTTTCTAATAATAAAGATAAAACATTTCGATTTTTATTAGATACAGGTGCTAGTGTATCTTTAATCAAATTAGATAAGTTAAATCCAGAAATTACTAAATTTTTTCCTAGCGAGAAATTAACCTTACACGGTTTAAGTACAGATTCTCCTGTATTAACGGCGGGTAGTACTATAATTCCATTTAATATTAGGAATCATACATTGAAAATAAAGTTCCATATTCTTAATCAGAAAACAAACGTCCCTTATGACGGTCTGATCGGATACGACTTTATTAAATCACAAAACGCCCAAATTGATTTAAAAAAGTATTTATTTTCTCTTGACTCGCTACCTTTTCCGCTACATCTAAAAATGAATATTAATAATGCTAAAACTCTTAACATCTTTACTAATTCATCAGATTTATTTAGTAGAAATAAATTATTAAATCAAAACCTTAGACTAGAATATTTAAATATTGAGGAAAAAGGACATATTTTAAATTTATGTACGGAATATAATGATATTTTTCACCTACCTGGCGATAAATTAACTTGTACTCAAACTATGAAACACGAAATTAATTTAAGTAATCAAAAACCAATATCCGTTCAAACTTATAGATATCCGAAAAAACAAGATGTATCTGGACAACAAAACAATCAGATTGTCTATAAACAAGGCAGAATAAATTCTAATGTAAATGCTTTATCACGAAATATCAACATTAATATAATATCAAAAGACGACGATTATCAAAATTTTATTAAATACCATTATCAAACCTCAGAAATTACCCCGAAACTTGATATTAAAAACTCAAATTTATTCGATAATTTACCTGCTGCTATTTATTTTTCTTCAGATCTGGAAGGAAAAGAATCCACCAGCCAAAAGGCTTTCGAAAAATTAGCGATTGATATAGTTGGTCCATTACCCATTACCGAGAATGAAAACAGATTTATAACTCAAACTAAAGAAAATATAAATAAATTAAAGCTTAAATCAAAAGAATATTACGATCAAAAAATTAACTATACGACTATTTATAAACCTAATGACCTAGTATATATATTAAATAAACAAGTTTCTCCAGGCTTAAGCAAAAAATTATCCCCTAATTTTAAAGGCCCGTATAGAATAACAAAAGTACTTAATGAAAAAAATGTTCAAATTGAAATTGGGAAAAGACATATTATTTATCATACTAACATGATAAAACCCTTTGTTTCAGATTAAAATGTTCGCCTTATTTTTATACCTTATTGTACTTTTTCCATTACCCTCTAACTTATCTACCTGGACAAACGGGAATATATTATCATAAATTGGGAAATGCAAAATATCCGGTTCTGAAATTATTCTTTTCACACACCTAAATTTATCTTATTATAATGATAAACTAAATTCGCTCTCTCACGCATATTAAAGATCTTTTAAATTATGTCATAGTAATGAAGATTCAGGTTTCGATAATATTTTTTTTTGATATAATAATTTGAAAAGAGGAATTTTTAATGGCACTTCATACGCTTTTAATTGATTATTTAATATACCTGATGCAAAATTTTATGATCAAGCCATAAAATAACTATTTACCGTTAATTACGAAACTCGACTTACTATGAAACAACAAATAAGAATTATTTCAAATACTATTCAAAATTTTAAAGCTAGTATTCACAGTTTTAATTTAAATTAACAATTTTTAAATATAAATACATTTTCTTTAATCAATTCAGTAATCAAACTAGTAAGATATATTACGTAGCGATGTGGGATCTATCAAGTTGTACGAAAACCACCGAAAACGAATTCATATGCAAGCATCCTCAAGTTATAAGAAATTAAGCTTAACATAACCCCATTAGATCTTGAGCCAGTGAAGATAACAAATTTAAAATTGGATGAACTGAACTTCGCCAATCACAAGCTTAAAATAGTTGGACGATCTTTTAGACGTAGAATTGAAGAAACCATTTATTGTGCAACATTCACACTGGTATACTGTTGGACTATCAGCAATTGGTTCAATTGTAACGATCATCTTATTGTATAATATTCTAAAATGGTGTGGACTGTTCAACCTGCTAAGAAGATTACTATGCTGTACCAAGGAGCCCAGGACCCTCTCTGAAGGTTGCTGTATTAAACTATTTAATACAAATATTAATACTCCAAATCCAATAACTCAGGCCCAATTCGAACAAATATTGGAAGAAGAAGCTGGAAGAAGTGGACTCCCAAGTAATCGTTAGCCGTGGAATTTTTAAACTTAAGTGGTCGACGCTCGACTAGAACACCATCCGTTCATATGGACTAATTAAAGACTAAAATGATCAGTGTATTTTTACTTTTTTTTTTATTTATTTTCAAACTTTTACTCTTAGAATAGTGTAGTTATTGTGTGTATTGTTTATTGTTTAATTTGACAATTTTTTTTCTCTTAATTTTTTTTTTGTTATGAAAAAAATTTTTCTTAGGGGGGAGGTGTTATAATCCCGTCCTCATTTTAATCAAATTTGTAATATTAGTTTAGGAATGTCCCATCTCTAATAAAAACCTTCATACCTTTGAGGTCATAAACGACCCTACAATATAATTCTAATTGATAACTTTAACTATTACTGTTGGGAATTTTGATCATAAATTTATATAGCTTTCGCAGACGTCTGTCTATCTGAACAATGTAAGTTTAGGGCAGTGTCGTCCACTGCTCTGAATATTAGATTAAGGATATATAAATTGTACTGTACGCCTCTGGCATTTCTGTAGCTTAGATATTATTTAAGGAACTGCAAGACAGGCCCTCACATCTCTTTTGCTAAAACCCTGTTTCAGTCACATACTTCTTTTGCTCAACACTCTTTTACTTTTGCTCTTCAACTCTCTTTTTACTCTTCAACACGTTATTATTTTTCACAGTTTCCCTCAGAGTAACTATTGTAATTAGTTTATCATAATTAAAGTTAAGTTATATTAAAAAACAACAGTGTACATTAATTCCACACCCGAAAAGACCCTCAACAAGTTGGCCCTTCTGAAGAGGACCACAACAATTATTAATTATTAGAAGAGTGAGAGAGAGTACCACATTATTGATTAAAATAAAAAAATAATTACCTGTTGCAGATGCTGCCTTTGATGTGGAATCCCTGTAGGTACCGTTAATGATGGCTAATTCCATTAGTTGTCTCTTTTTCAGCTCATCTTCACCTTCGGCTTGCTATAATTAACGAAAAGAATACAATTAATACAATTTTTTTATAAAAAAAATGAAAGACAATATAAAACAATTTCAGATACCTACAGTATGTCTCCGGATTTTCTTCACAAGAGGAAAAACTTTTTATTATTGACATTTTGAGAAAAATGTATTTTTCATAAAACAATTTTGCTTGTTCCAAAATGGTTAATCCCGTTTATACTTTTCCAAATTATCATACTGTTTTAGAAAAAAAAAATTAAAAAAAAAACATGAAAATATAGTTGAATTTTTTCCTTTTAAGTTCTTAAAATCAAAACGCGTTTCTATGGTAATGTATTTTCGTTTTCATTTTTTCATAGATTGTTATTGATAGAAACTTAATTAATAGTTATTTTTTATATAAGACGATAAAATGGTATTTTATGGTCAACCGAAAAGATTTAAGATTAATTTCGGGAGACGATAATGAAATTTTATCGTCGATAATGCAATTTTATCGTCGTGTATAAAACAATTTTTTTCCATAGCGAATTACGTTTAAAAAAATATTAACGGGATTAACCATTTTGGAACAAACAAATTTTTTTATTGCATTTTTCTCAAAATGTGAATAATAAACAAGTTTTTCCTCTTGTAAAGACAATCCGGGGACATACTGTATATTTTTTTTTCTAAAATATACAGAATAAATAAAAAAAAATCTTTTCGCCAAGGATCGAAATATATTACCAGTTAAAATATTTGTACTTATTTATGGAACATCCTGTACAATCCAACAAGATCTTTTTACTTTTGAAACATTTTCTACATGACAAACGCTAAAACTCGTTTAGATGAATAATATTTAGGTATGCACTGGCAAGCTGATTGTTATAGTAGTAAAACTATAAATACGTAATATTTTTAAAACTATTATGATTTAAAAATTCCTCACGTAATTGGTCGTATAAAATTTTACGAAGACGATGATTGCATGTACCAGTCATATTTTTCCAATAATTCGGTTATTTTCGGATGTATTTTCATTTCTGCTCTTTATTTACAAGTTTCAAAGTTTTCGAGGTAGAATTTAACGTGATCCGCTTGATTTAATGATTCAGGTGACCTATATGGCGACATGCTTGTTTAAAGAGATGTACAAACATTCTTTCAGGTATAGAATGTTTCTTAAAATATACTTTTTTATATATACACGGCGTTCCATGTAAAAATGCATATAACAGGAATCTCGTAAGCCAGCAGAAAGTCGTGTTTCAAAATCTAAAAATTCCGAATATTCCCGAAGAATACTTCTGAATTGTATTGTCATATCTTTTCAAGTAGAGTCAGAAAATAATTAAAACCAAATCGGGAAATTTAAAATTTTTTAAAAATTCGTTAAACTTTTTTTTACATTTCGAAACCAGACGCTGTAGGGTTCAGCCAGAAACAACTTTTCTCTAAATCTCTTTCTCTGTTTTTTGGTATATTGATATAAGTATATGGTTCCCAGATTCCCGTAGTGTTCCTTCTTATCTTCTTATCGTTGATTGAAAGAATTGGGAAGATAGGCAACCTAATGGGCGAATTTGTGATAAGATTGATTTTATTTCCCCTTACGTCTCAAGCGCTGTACGGTGGAGACACCAATCGTTTTGAGGTCAACGCATAAAACACTTATTTTCTCTAAATCGGCCAGCGAAGGCATATCGAAAACAGTGTGATCTGAAAGCGACGGTGTTGCCATATTAAAATGTGTAATATCTGTAATACCTTTGATGAAAATATCTTTTGATGAAAAATCCGCGTTTATGTATTTTGGGTAGGTACCATAGAGAAAATTACTTTCTCTATGGTAAGTAGTTATTAATTAAAACATAATTTTTAAAACGGTTTTTCGTCAAGCCTATGTTGGTCGGCGCATCTGATAAAAGTGTAATGAACTAAAAATGGAAGCGAAAAAAATTAATGCAAATATTTACTTACAGTATACAGGTTGTGCACATAACTTAACAGTAACCGATAGAACAGAGAGGTAAATAATAATCAGCGGATCTAATATTAGAATTAATTATTTATTTTAGATATAGAGGAAATTAACGAGTATATGGTTAATAAAAGATATAATCCTTTTATATTTAATAAAAACGTTTCTTTATTTCGAATAATGAGCATTTTGGAATACTAAGCTTCGATATACTGTATGATCGAAAAAAAACGGCGTCCAGTTGGCTTGGAAATGAACCTCCATGACTCTTCCCCATATTTTACATATAAAATGACAGCGATCTTCAATTCATAGCCATCGCTGACGCCGTTTTGTTTTCAATCATATTGTACTTTGAACTCTGCTAAGAGAACAACTATCATTTATGCAGGGTGTTTAATTAATAAGTGCAAATACCTACTCTTTAACTGAACTCCAAAAACACAGCAAACAATTTTCTTTATTTTATTTTCTCAGTTAATTTTAATAGACTTTCAAGAGGTGCAAGTTTATCTGAAACTTTGCCATAAAGACATGCACCGTTGCCACATTTTACATCTATCTACATACCCAAGTGCCTTAGTACTAATAATTCTATATTATAATAGATAATGTTTTATAATATTTGAATCTTATAATATTGTAATAAGCTACAGAGCATATAATAAATATAGCATAGAATCTAAAATCTAACAGATTAAATTTGAAATTACTATTTAACAAAACTATTTGAAAATTAAGTTTGGATACTTACAGGTACGAGTAGTTTTCTCACTTCTTCCACTGCTCTGGCTAATTTCATTTGTGCTCTGTTTTCTGTGTCTTCAACTGTCAAAAGCACGTGCAGTTCATCTGACAGATGCTCCCAATTTGGCTTTCCCCTGTTTTGGTCCTCCTAAATGACAAAAAATGGAATTATAAACTTTATACAGATCCAGTAATAATTATATAGTCTAGATACAGGGTGTCTCTTCAATAAGTGCAAGTATTAAAGGTAGTATATTTCGACTCATGAAACACACCCATGGCACCTGGTAATTTAAGGTGTTTTAAATTTTAAAATATACAATTATGAAGTCTATTTATGATGGTATCAAGTAAAAAAAGCTAGAAACCGATAGATCGTTTTATAAGTAGGCATATGAAACTTCGATAATGGGCTCATTGTTGACTGTGAAATTGCTTTGGCATCGGCTATTCGTATCGTTTTTTTGGATAACCCTGAGCAATTTGTTCGAGATAAACGATCTTTTTGAGCACGACGATGTCAAACAAGCTAACGAATTACTCCTAAACTACCAAAATCGTGACTTTTTTGATGTAGAGACGGCGATCCGCCTAAAGGCGTGTTTGATATAACTGTACATAACCATACCGGTACGATATTTGGAATATATCTTTTTTTAATCAGTCTGACTCATTCTTGTTTACAGCACCCTCATCTCCTATTCAAAAATCATCGTATTTGTTACCAAATCAAACTATATCATGAATTTAAATTCATATAAAAAGTTTAAACCTCTAAATTGCTATGCAATTTCAAAAAAATTAAAATACAGGGTGGTCCGAACTGTAGGTATTCCGGAGACTTCGGCAGCATATTCTGCGTATAAAAATAAGCAAAAAAGTTCGTATAAATGTATGCCCTAAAATTCTTAGATTTGGAGATACAGGGTGTAGAAGTTTCATTTTTATTTCGATTTTTCCCAAATAATTTCTGAAGTAACGTCAATATTTGGATGAAAATTGGTGTCTGGAAGTTTTTTGATACGAGAAATTTTGATATATACATTTTGATGTCAATATGACGCCTACATGTGTTTTAACTGGTTTGAAGAGTAATAACTTTTCGTCCGTACCTGTATAAAACTACTGAGTAAAAAAATATACATTTACGACGTTTTTTACGTAAAAAAGGTCTCTTGGTAAAAATCGCTACGAGTAATGGTTCTCGAGATATTTGGAATCGAAATTATCAATACCTGTCATTATTGACATAAATTAAACATGTTGACTAAATTAATAGTTATTAGACTGAAATCATAAATTTGAAATGTTTTTGTGCCAAAAGTTCAACAGAAACTGTTTCATCATCATTTTTTCGCAGAAAAATTTATGATTAAGAAAATAAAAATTTCCCAAATTTATTATTTCAGTCAAGTAACTATCCACTCAAAGTGTTTATTCTAATTCCATTCGAAATATCTTGAGAACGGTTGCGCGTAGCGATTTTTACCAAGAGATATTTTTTACGTAAAAAGTCACGGAAATGTATATTTTATCACTCAGTAGTTTTATACAGGTACGGACGAAAAGTTATTACTCTTCAAAACAGTTAAAACACATGTAGATGGCGCCCCCTACAAATAGGAGTCATATTGACATCAAAATCAAATTTCTCGTGTCAAAAAACCCCCAGACACCAATTTTCATCCAAATATTGACGTTACGTCAGAAATTATTTGGAAAAAATCGAAATAAAAATGAAACTTCTACACCCTGTATCTCCGAAACTAAGCATTTTCGGACATACATTTATACGAACTTTTTTACCTATTTTTATCTACAGGATATGCTGCCGAAGTTTCCGGAATACAGTTCGGACCACCCTGTATATTATGGTATAGGATAGTAACCTATACATATACTTATATCCACGATGCGATGGTTACACACAGGATCTAAGTTTACTAAGTACCTACTTACTGCTTACTTATCTTATTGTTTTTATCCTATACAGTAAACTAAATTTATTTGTACAAACACGTTAGAAAGAACTAATTGCCCCAAAAGTTAAATAAACCAGTCACTCTAGAACAGGAAACAAAAACAACAAACAAAAATTCCAAAAACAAAGTAAAAATAAATCGACTGAAAAAATACAGTGGCTCTAAAAATATCTCTGGACTACGGTTCAGAGTAAAAAGAGATTTAAAAATGTCATTTTTGGAAACTAATAAAATCTTGATATGCTATACAGAGGTTATAAAAAAGATACGTTGAATAGATTGTATACTAAATATATTTTTATTAATTAATTAAAAAAATAACTTGTTACTCCTTGTGTTTATCGTACTGCGTGAAATAACAAAAATATTTGAGAAAAAATACAAAAAAGATAAATTAGTTGGTTAAAGAACGCGGGCAGACGTAGGGAAGCTTTTCAAGTTTGTTTATGACTTTTCCTTTTTAAAATAAAGAGGCGTTTTGGCCGTGGGCCAAAGCACGGCCCTAAGGACTACTACCACGACACACTTTTTTATTCCCAAAATACGATTATAACCTTCTATGTCTAAAGCACCGTCTACACATAACATTTTACCTGCAAGGTAAGACGGATTGAAAACTAGCGTATACACTGAAAGTTTTACCTGCGATTTTATCAATTATTATAGCATCGTGTTTAGCGAAGTTGGAAAGAAAAATTATTGTATTTTAATACAAAATTGTATTTATGGTTTAAATTTTATTTGTAAAGATTTAACTAACTGTAAAAATCGTACTATTTGGTAATAATCATTAAATAGCTCTAAATAATCTTGACAAAATGCATTATTTTTTTAAGATAGGGTCTTAATCTCACTCCATGCCAGGCGCGATAAACGCAAGACGACATTTCAGAAATCCGGAAAAACTGTACGTCAAGGGCCCGCTTTACACTCACTTTCGGTTAACAGCGCTTTCAGATGGAGCGGAGCGTCCGCAACGGACCGTCCGCGACTTCGAGCAAGTACAATGAGCTTATACTAAGGGCTGGCAAAGGTTAGTCTTGTGTCGAGATTTCCTTATGTAAAGGTGCATATTCATTATCCGAACGAACGAACGAACGAATGTAAGTGCGGTATATTTAGACGGGGACCGAACGCATGCGGCCGTTCGTTCGTTCGTTCGCTCGACCATCCGTTTCGAGTCGGTACATCAAAGGCGTTCGCCAACAAATGCCTCTGGTCTTCTCGTGCGATTGTATATGGTTCTATCGTACGGTCCCCGTCCATACCACTAGCGAACATTCGTTCGTTCGTTCGTTCGTTCGGATAATGAATACGCACCTTAAGAAGAGTACAATGCGTTTATAATGTACTGAACAAAGAGAGGACAGTAAAGACGTTGCCAAACGTATGAAATAAACCGAGAAACTGTGCACATCGCTAAGAGACGTGGAAGGGCATATAGCAGATTTGTCGCAGTTGACCGGTCGACTCAATCAATACCTCTGTCAGTACTTAAAGTTCTAGGGAAAGGTGTACGTCATGCGTTCAGCTTCACGATTTAATTACGTCTCGTGATACTTGATTTGTTTATTTATTAACGAGTCGTTGTAATTTTCCCTATAGCTTGAATTTTTTTAAGCGCAAGCTAGAAACACCTGCATTTTTGGTAAAAATAAGTGGAATTGAGTGGGTGTTCGATAGTGGTCGAGCTATTAGAACTCTGAATTCAAAAATCGATATCTCGAAATCTATTAGAAATAATAGATTGTAGTTTTTTCAAGAACTTTGTTAATATTTCTGCTGTATTTTTTTTGTAGACAGTATGTGAAAATCTTTATCAATAAAAAAATTACACGATTGCTGAAAATTGCTATGCTCTAAAAGTAAATGGATGGATTGTTTACAATTTTTGAATGGAAAAAACAACCTTATCGAATTTTATGTAAAGATATTGTAAAATAGCCGATCTTAAAAATAAAAAAAGTTTCAATATCTAAAGTGGTTCTTCAGTTATGGCCTGTTATGTGTTAAAAAGTTGAGTTTTTAAATTATCGCGATTACTGACGTTTTCTCGTTATAAAAAAATGACGGTGTGCTGTTGCGATTTACTTCCACACATGTAAATGCCGACCCAAAAGTAACAGTTGCCAGCACGGTATGAACAATTTCACATGGGTCGCGTATGCTCCGTCCGGATGAGCTATATTGAAAAAACATCCGCGCGTACTGAAAGCGCTGTAAACCTGGAGTCAGCTATTGTTTTTTAAGCAAAAAAAATCAGTTGAATAGCTGTTTTGTGTAGATATCTTTCACTTAATGGAAATAACGCATAAGAACACTATACCGGGGTTTCTCAAAAACTTTTTAATTTTGTCAGATAAAAAAACGAGATTTGGTATGTCAGTATATGACATAAATCAGGATTGATTGACGTATTTTTTTTCGGTCACTTCCTGTTTCTCCGGAAATGACTAGAGCTTTTGATTTTTGAATGACGCCCTCGGTATTTTTATATTTTATTCGATAGAGAATGACAGTCTGAATAGAGTGACATATCATATGTAAAACTATCGACATTTTCGCATATGGTAACATATGGGAACTGTAACATGCGGTTAATAACGACAATTTGACTCGAAATACCAACTGTGTGGTACAAAATATTCGTAAAAACATGAGTTCCATTTGAAAAAATTGATATATGATTAAAAAACGATTTGGGCATCTTTTAACCGGCCAGGACAAGACACGAAAAACATTAGATGATCAAATCTATTTTTCGTCATTCAAAAAATCAAAAGTTGTAGTAATTTCTGGTGAAACAGGAAGTGGCCGAAAACAACTATTATTGAACACGACAATCGATCCTAATTTATGTCATAAAAGTAAAAATGCTATAGGGGTGGTTAGGCAGTTAGCCACTTTTGAGAAACACGGGTTAGGGTATGAAATAGAAAAAAATTATGGTACATGGTAGCGCTCCAAGAACCTTTTTCGGCCCAAAGAATGTTATAGGCGTTCGGTAACAATTAGAAGCGCGACTAGCGCAATAAATCAGGCCAGGATGAGACGGAAGAATTCGTTATTTATATCTACCTGTGTGTGTTATTCTAGCATAAATCGAAAATATTTTTATTACACGTTTACACCTAACTTTAGAACGAAGAGGCGACGGTCACGATATCATATTGCTTCCTAAATATCAAGCCGGATATTCAGATGTCACGATATTCTCGATATTTCTTTCTAAATTTATAATATCTATATATCTAATAATATATAAAACTGATGTTTATAAATTTTAGTTTTTTTATAGTCAGAATAATGATAAATCTTAATAAATAATTCTAGATGTCTAATAATAGTTATTTTTTATACAAGACGATAAAATGGTATTTTATCGTCAACCAAAAAAATTAATTCACGAGCGATGAGATCGCGAGTGAATTAATTTCGGGAGACGATAATGCAATTTTATCGTCTGTATAAAACAATATTTTTTTCCATAGCGAGTTACGTTTTAAAAAATATTCAGAAATTATTATTTCAAGGAATTTATTACAAGTAGAAAATATATTGTGCTGGGTTGGCGTTGGTTTCTATGTAATCTGACAAATAAATAAAGCTGTCTCTTTAGTTTTCAGTTTTTTCAATATTTTTTAATTCTCTTTCGTGTCGATTGCTGATTGAATTGCAGCTAGAATTTAAATCCCGAATAACTTATGAAAAGGAATACAAAAATTTTCAAAAATGAAAGCAATTAAAAAACGTGCGAGAAGAAATAAAGTTTTTAACCTATCCTCAGTACTTCGATTATCTTCGGATTGCATACATGTCATACATCTCCTTATATAAAATAAGGTTTCTAATATGCAACACACTGTGTTATATTTATAAAATTAAAAGAAAATAATAATAAATTTGAATAAATAATATATTAGGCGTTATAATTCCGGAAAAAGCCGAACCGCTCTGAAATTATCAAAAGCTTTGGAGAGCGACCGTTGTAAGAAGAGCGCCAAATAGTATTTACATTGTCCTTATGGACAGTTTCCAATATAATGGCTTATGGGTTTTATTTTATTTTAGTTTGGATAAGTATAGTGGTAACCTAGCAATAATATTGAAATAATTGTGAAGTTTAAAAATACAAAATACGAAAATAATTTTGCATCGATTATGCCAAAAGACGAATCACTACCGCGTGCGCGTCATTTCAGCTGGAGCCGAAATTTTCACGGATATTGTGCTGCCATTATACATCAAACGTGGTTTTACTCATTTCCCGGCTTTGCTCGCCGAAAAAACATCGTATTTTCTTAGCTTTGGCGAGCTGGCGACCCCATTCGGCTCGTCATAAATCAACGCGTTTACAAAATCGTCGGCTAATTGTCGTAAAGTAGAGGAAATGGAGGCGTGACTAAGTGTTTTCGTGAAAAGTCCACTAGAAAATTTAATTTACTTTCGTATTTATGCGCGGACATTCCCTGTTCTAATCCGCGACAAAAGTTTACGATAAAAATTCAGTCAAATTTACATACTACACGGAAAAAAATCGAGCAGAAAATTTTGTTACAAAATTGTAGCACGGTAAATGTATCAACTGATATAAATATAAAATGTATCTGCAATAGCGATAAGAAAACGATAAGCAAAACGAAGTAATAACTTCGTTTTTAATCAAAAATTCAAGTTTTGATTCGGGAGGCAGTGAAATATTTTTGTACTTATTTTCCCAGTGGGTGACTATACAGGGTGAGTCTTAAATAAGTGCAAATATTTTCAGAGGTCGTGTATTTCGACCCCCGGAACACATCTATGAGGGTTTTTTTCGCAAGAAATAGATGTTGAAAATCGTGCATTTTCTTTTAAATTTCCCTGTATATTTTTCGAAAACTTTTTAGAATTGCCCGTTCACCGCAAATTTTCTCACGGTGTAATTTCTTTATCTCTGTTATTACCATGGTTATACTACTACTACTATACTCTGGCACAACAAAATTTAATTAAAGATGTGACAAAATAGTTACATTTCTATTGGTTCTATCGGACTTTTTTCGACTATATAAATCTTTATTTTTTGTAAACTTTAATGCATAAAATATTTTCAATCTAATAAATAATTTAATGATGTAAATAAGAGGAAATTTCTCACATGGGTGGTCAAATTCTATAGTTTTCATTATATCAAACAGCCTCTGAATGTTTTCTTCAGTGCAAAACTCATCAAAATTTAATATAAATAATTTTTCCAGCCTGTAAATAAAATGAACAAATTTTTCCACTTTCATGATCAAAGGCTTTTAAATGGGTAAATAATTTCGAGTTATCCAGAGATTCGGATTCTTTTGCAAATTTTAGACAAATATCACATTGATGTATTTGAAGACCCTTTTTAATGATGTAGTCAAACATAATTAAAGGCATTTTGAGTTGAAAACATTTCTCAGAGGCTGTTTGATATAATAAAAACTATAAAATTTGACCACCCATGTGAGAAATTTCCTCTTATTTACATCATTAAATGATTTATTAGATTGAAAATATTTGATGTATTAAAGTTTACAAATAAAGATTTATATATTCGAAAAAAGTCCGATAGAACCAATAGAAAGGTAACTATTTTGTCACATTTTTAATTAAATTTTGTTAAATAAATTAATTTTTTATACTATAAATATCTTTTTTTCCTTATAAATAAACACATTTGCATCCCATTTTAAATAAGATATACAAATTACCAAAACTTACAAATAACAGTTCAAAAGTTCAGCAAAAATCCTACACGCGTTTTTAAAAAGAAACATATAACCATGCACTATGTCATTCCAGCAAGCGAATACGACACAGCATAGGTTTCCGGACTAAACGACTGGTGTATTTACACCACTCAATAGGCGTGTCGGGTTTGCCGAGCGGTTTCCGATGCAGTCGCTTTCTTTCGCATTTGTTGTAGTTAATTTGTGACTCTATTATATACTTTATGGTTACGGCACTAAAAGGGATACAAATACAAAAAAAAATCCGGTGGCTCTCAATTTTTTTTCAAAAAACAAGCATTTTTTTTCAATTTTCAAACATGAAGGTCAGGAAACGGTCAGCCACTTTTGAGACGTACCCGGTATATAGAAGATATTATGTTCCTTTTAAAGTTATTCGTACAGGTAATTTGACACCCAAATAACCCACTTAGTATTTATGGTTTTGTAAAAAAAATATTTATTTTCTTTAGTTATTTATATTCCCCCTCGTATAATCCAATTAAAATCAAATTCTCCATATACCCCTCTTGCACCTCTCCTCTCGAAAAACAAAAGAATTATCACAGAGGCGCAGTTGACACATTTCGAATCGAACAATATAGTTAGTACAAAGGTTCGGCTTTATATAAAGATATACATTTCTTATACACACCTTTTTCTTGTCCCTCATGGAGCCCTTGCCCCTCACCATGATTTTACAGCCGGTTTCTTGCTCTAATTGCTTGGCCGTCATGCCTCGGGGGCCCAAGATCCTTCCCACGAAGTTGAACTGCAAACGAAAAACGAATAAGAAATTGTTATTCGGAATAATTAACGTTCAAACTACGTAGAAACGAACAAAAAAAGAAGAAACATTACGATTAAGAGATTATTACTCAGACAAATAATAATAAATAAAGACAAACCTTACTGTAACAGTGGTATAAGATGTAAAAACTAGACGTAAATAGAAAAATGCTAGGTTTCAACTTATTTAAAATTTGTAAAAAAATTTGGCGAAAAAAACTCAAAGACGCGTTCCTGGATGAAAATACAGAGTTATTCACCTCATTCGACACAGAGTATTGTAAGCAAATGACTGCATTTTTAGAAATAATTGTGAGTGATGGGATCCTTGGAGAACTATTGAAGCTACAATATAAAATTATTTTCAAAAGGTACAGAGTGTCCCAAATAAAGAAAAAATATCAAAGTTGTATTTTTTAAATTAAACACCCTGTATTCCTGTCCCTGTATATTATTACATTTTTAGTTTCTACGATTAAAATAAAGATAAATTTGATTAAGGTTTACCGCACTTAATCTTACCGTTTTTGAAATATTGAGGATTTTGTGAAAATGCAGTAGCAATTTAAATCTTTCATTTCTCTAGGTGTATTTAAGTTTTTAAAACCAAATTCTGTACTGAAGTTTTTCTATTTACTAAATTTTGTGTTGCAATTATAAAAATAATGCTACCTTATACAGAGTGCCTAAAAATTTATTTTAAATAATTACTAGCTTTAAACGGCAATAACTTGTTTAATTTAAATGGAACAACCTGTATATTTTATGAGAATGAGATGCACAATTTAATTGTCTATCAAATTGTTTTATACTATTTTTTACCTATCTCTTCAAGTTTTCGTAGAAAATACATTTTCTTATAATTTAGACCTCATTTATCAATATACCCATGGAACATTGACATTATAGATATTTTTTTAAAGGAACAAATGTACAAAATGTGCAAGTGCTAAAACTGCTAAATCCGATAATATTACTAGACCATTTGTTTACAAAAAGAAAACTATTTAAATCTTTGTAAAAGAGTATACTAATTAAATATACCATATACCACCATTATTTCCGTTTTTTTTAGTATTTGGAAAAATTATTAATCAACACTAACAGTCAATTAATGTAATTGGTCCCCTGTTACAAATATTTAATTTTTTTTTTATTTTTTAATAAAATTAGCTAAGGGAACTATATCGACAATATTAGTATCTGTACTCTTTGAAAATTTGTTACATCTTTAAAAATAATCTAAAATGTCAAGATTCCATGGGTATTCCAAAGATTCCAAATGAGGTCTAAATTATAAGAAAATGCATTTTCTACGAAATATTCTAATAATTTCTATCTTCAAGGTTTTATTTGTATTGAATTACCAAAAATAATATTTATCTAAAGATTTTCTATGTAGAAAGTGCACCTAGTAAAAATATATTAAAAGAACGCTAGACTTTCAATAGTCTTGCGCAAGACCAAGACTAAGGGCCATTTCGCATCAACACAGTCCAATCCAGTCACGATCAGTCACGTCGGACGTTGCTGAATCCAATCTAGGACAGTCATGAGAAAAACAAATGCGGGAACGAAAGTTGTTTTCAAACAAAACACGTCGTGTACAGTCCAGTCGCGTCCAGACAAGTCAAGACTGATAGTGATTCGTTCTGTCGAATTTTTATGCCAGTCATTTGCGATATTTGTACCTACACAAATGGATGTGGAATTTTTTAGCGAACCTTCTGCTATTTTAGTAAGAAAAATAAATGTGGTCCCATTCGAAAAAAAATGTAAAATTTCTTGGAATCATCTAATAAATCGGGAAATAAGTGACTAAAACATCCGAAAACAAGTCTTCTATTATGAATGGGATGTATCCAAAATAAATTTCTCCTTCGCCTTCTTCTTTCCAATCGACGTAAAATTATTACTCTAAGAATCTCGTCCATTTTCAAAGCGTTCTGTTGTTAAACTGTTTATTTTTGCTGGAAACACGTTAAAAAAATGTCATCAACAAACGTCGGACGCGTTTGGTGTGAAAGCTGTAGTGATTTGACTGGACTAGACTGAATCTGACGGGGCTAGACTGGACTGTGTTGGTGCGAAATGGCCCTAAGACAGGATCTTGCAAGATCAAGATCACGACTGGAACATGCAAGACTAAGACCAAAACCAAGACTAATTATTAACTGCAAGACCAAGACCAAAAGAGTCTTAGTTCTTGCATTTGCTCATCACTAGATAATAGGCATTTGATCTATACTACGATGCATTTGATATTATATACTGTTCTGTGTATTTTTCCGGTGATCCTAAATTTGATCAAAATCATGTCGTTTAACTTCTGTTTGTGGAATTCCTAAATGACTGAGACTGAACGCACACAGAAAGAGCACAACTGTTTTAGTTAAATTTAGTTAAATGCATAAAAATCAATACACTTCGTATAGACATTTAAGAAATCTCAGACCCTCTTGACAGATACTTTTACCATCGATGGTCATCTTGCTTGCTACTACAGTTTTCTCCGCTTATAGCAGTTTTATAGAAAACCAGGAAGCTACAAATGGGGACAAAGCTGATGAAAAACAACACAACGCATCTGTACACTTATCTTACGTGAATTACGAGCACCAATAAGAATGACAAGTCGGAAAAACTGACGGCGATTTGCCGTAAAAGTACAACCGGCGCGGCGGTCGTACCGCTTCTAGGTTTTAATTATGAGGACTAATTGGCGAGATCGATACGTATGAATATGAATAAGTCTGGTTTTTGTGACCATAAGTACCGAGTCGTTCATCAAAAGTATGATGTATGATAGTTACGAAAGAAGTATGTATACATATACATGTATAAAAGATGGATTAATCATGTGGATTAATCAATATACATTAATATGTTTTGACTCCACCATATACGTTAAAAAAAATAATTAAATATTAATAAAGTTATGGCCACCCTGTATGTCCACGTATAACATTTATAACGAAAACTTTCTTTGTAATGAAAATGTGTTAAGTATTGCAAACGGCTACTCTTTTTGCACTAGGCTGATATACCTTACACTGCATACCAAAGGGCGCCACTTATTTCAAAAGGATGCTGATACTTTTTAAAGTATATTACAAACTGAAATAAGATTTGTACAAGTGTATTAATTGAATGGAAACTAAAATTAGTAGAGCTATTAATTATTTTGAGAAACTTTACCTACCTTTTAAAAATGGGCAATTTTTCAAGTTTTTTTTATTTTATTATATACCAGCAGATTGAATCATATTTTGTTGTACTACTTTTTTTGATCGCAATGGTACATATATTTGGTACCTTTTTCTTTATACTGTTTGTCTAAAGACATAGCTATACATAATCTGACTATAATTTTAAGTCTGTTACTAAAAATAAATAATCACTTGCAATGACTCAATGCTGTAGAGTCGGTAATACCAAAGTTTACAGAATTATCTGTAAACTTTGATAATTCTACAAATAAACCGATCTGCTGACACACATGTAGTCCAATAGTTATTATGGTCATAGATTTGCATGGCTTACTTTACAACCTGTAGGTACAGTGTAAGACCATTGCATCAGATAAAATTAATGTTAACATCCTTGCAACAAAGCTCTAAACTCAGTGGGTACACGATTTACTGGAGATATATTAATGATTTCTAGTACTAAAATATCTGATGAAGAAATCTCTATTTTATTGTCTAAATATAATTTTATCGATAGTAACTTTTTATAGACATATTAACGTTCATACAGTATTTTAATAACTATATTGTTTGTAATATGAAAAAAAAACATCATGTTAAGCTACCAAGATTAAATATATGTAGCTAAGAATACTTTTTTATAGTTTATAATTTTTTTTGGTATGGTGTTGATCTAGATTTAGAAAATGTATTTATAAAACCAATATCGTAGATCTTGAAACAAAATGAAGACTTATAAATTATCCCTTTAACGACATATTGAACATTATTTAGATAAAAGAAATAAATAAAGTTACAAGTTATTATTACCTGTTCTGAAACTATTATTTGACACTAATAACAGCGACAAAAAGAAAGAATATACTGATGTTGAAGCAATATTTCCAAATTTGATTGCAAATTTCAAATATTGTGCCATTTTTTACCATTTTAAGAATTTATTTGTTATTCCCTCAAGACTATTTATGACTTAGTATAAGTTTATAGCTTTTTCTAGCATTTCCACTCCAAAATAGGACTTTGTTTACCGCTGGGACGTTACATATATCTTATCATTTACATTCAATTAGACTGACTGGTTGGTATATGCTTATAAAAACATTATCATATATATCAGCCTTATTATAGGTTCACAGAGCGAAAAAAATATATACGTTAAACAGAAGAATAAGTTATAAATAATTCTTTTATGGAACTTTAAGCCATATTTGTTTAAACGACCTTTGGTAAGAAAAAAGAAAAATTCTTTATATATCTTCCTTATGAAGGTATGATGATATGAGAACACTGTTTTATTGTACTTGGTACTTAGACAAAGTGTTTCATTCCCAAATACAGATTGTTTTATTTGAAGAAATAAAACCAGAGAAAAATACAGCACACAGGGTGTCTCATAAATAAGTGCAAGTATTTTAACTGGTAGTTCGATTTGTTGGTAATAAGTGAGTTTGGTATTAGTTCGACCCCAGCAATATGCCCATGAGGATTTTTTTCCAACAAATATTGTTGAAAATTTTACATTTACTTTATATTTTCTGGAAACTTAAAAAGATAACTTTTTAGTGCCGCAGGTTTATTTTCCTAAAAATTCTTGACGGTGTATCGAGGCTTTGCAATGTTGCTACATCCTACGTTACCCACATTCTGTATATTTGTCTGTTTATAATTTTACAGAAATTTTAATTTTTTACACAACAACATTCCAAAATTAATTTTTCTACGATCGTGCAAAAAGTAGCTATTTTTTTACACTACCTATTGTGTTAAAAAAAGTCAATTTTTTTACACTAGTGCAAAAAACACCTTGACATTATTAATGACGAGTTTAACTTGAGAGACAAAATGTGCAAAATGAAGATACAAAGATTTTGTTACTAATGCAAGTATATTTTTGTTAGTCGCCATAAAGTCTTATGTAAATTAATAAGTATAAAAATAAATTGACTTTGTCCAGGTATCGAACCCTCGCGCTTCGAAATGGTTAATCATAGCTGACTACGAATGTCGTCTGACAGCGAAAATTGCCATAATTTTGAAGATGTCAGTTGAAAACATAGCGTGTTTTATTGTAAGCTGTTAAAAATGTCAAGTTCGGATAGTGACGAAGAAATTATTGGTACTCCTCCAGATATTTGAAATAGCAAATGAAGCTACCACATATTTATTACCTGACAAATCTAAAAAGGTGTACGAAATTTGTTATAAACGGTTCATTGAGTGGTGTGCCACAAGGTTTGTTAAGAACATTACTGAAAACGTTCTCCTATCATATTTGAAAGAAAAATCAGAGATATTCAAGCCATCAAATCTTTGGTTTGGTTTGATTTGGATTTTTCTTGAAATCCGACATTTTACCAAATTATTCCATTTTTGAAGAAGAAGTCTGTAGGATACTGTCCCAAGAAATCAAAAATTTTTACCTGACAGGAATATAATATATTCCAAAATAAGAACAACATTTGTTTATATAGTGTCGTTGTTAGTGGTAATATTATTCTATGTCTGCGAATTACTGTAAAAATCTTTTAATAAACATTTAAATAAGAATTTCAATTCGATCGTAGAAAAAATGTTGTGTGCAACATGTGCAAAAAGCATATTTGTTGCACTCAGCTTGATTGTAGTCTCGAGCTGCAGATCTCATGCGTCGTGCAACAAGTATGTCATTTTTGCATTAGTTACACAAATAACTATTATTTAGATGTTAAGTCACTTTTATGAAGAAAAATAGTGTATTATGTACGTGTCAAAAATAATTTTATTTTATTGGATTGGAAGGAAATTCAAACTTTTTTTAGACTTATATGATAATTAATTATCTTACTATAAAATACAATAAAATACTTACATCTGGATGTTCCTTTACTGGAACATATACTTTTTCTGTTAGTGTCGTCACTTGACCTTCTGGTTCTGGTAATATTAAGGGCTCCTTCTTAACCCCATTTATTTGGAATAAACTGGCTCTGACTTTTGCGATTTCTGCAAAAAGAGAAAAAGAAAAAACATAAATTCAGTGTTCTAGTTAATATTTATACGCTACAGATAAATATTCAGAAGAAAATACCGATTATTAATTTTATTAATAAGGACGAATTCTTAAAACTGTCAAGCATATAAGTAGTAGTAGTGTGGTATTTGAAGCATTCGAAAAAGCGGAATAATTGGCCTTATTAAGTATAATATATGAATAACCAACCTGAGGTCTTTAATTATGTCATATCTGGCGGATGGTTATTAATTTATTAATTATTTCATCAATAAATATAATAATGGTATATTGTTTTATTAGGAGTAAAAATAACACTTACAGCCTTCACTGATATACAGCCGAGGCACAAAAAGCCATTTTTACTCCAAATAGAACATGCTATTTTTCTTTCAAACGCAACCCAATAAGTTTTTAAACAATTTCAAACGTTCCAAATATAAAAAGATTTAAAAGTCATACCTTGTATGTAATTATATATCGAGAAACTATGGTTACGCTCGTTGAATTTGACACTTCATGCCAGTTTAATAATATATTTTCGTACTTTTATGCTTAGGCGTAAAAGTGCTTACTTTATATTGCCAATCACGTCGCAAAAATTAATATTTTTCTGTTGTACAAAAAATGCATTATAGCTATAGAGTTGCTATCAAATACTTATTTTCCTTTAAACACCATTATGAATTGAGAGATCCCTTACATCAGAAGTGGGATATTTTTGCGTGGTGTGTGGGTTACTGCAGTGAATTCTTGTACTACTGAGACTAACTCTACGTCGACTTGTTCAACATGTTCGTCTTCATCGTCTAGTACTAAAAGCTGTCGAAATCGCCCTAAATCAAAAAGCGTGAAATCCAAAAACGCTCCAAATACAGGATGTATCAGGGATGCATATTTCAAAAACAAACAGAGGGATTTCAAATTGGTGACCTTGTGCTTACTAAAATTGCAAGCCTACCAAGCAATAACGACAACAAAAAGCTAGTGATTGAAGTGCTACCCAACGACCAATGTATGGTGAAAGATGATAAATATGCTACAAAATCGAGAATTTCTTATGAAGCGAGAGTGTGTCTAAAACACATGCAACCATTCGAAATTAGTTATTGTAGAAGACTAAGTCGAATTCAAATTTAAGTAAAGATGGAGTCTGACTATACTCCGGCAATTCTGTTTGTAACATTTGTTCTGTTTGAATTAAACACTTTGAAAGTTAGTATGTGTTTGTATTTAATAAATAAGTTACTGTTTTGCTAGTATTTAATTGAAGAATCAATTCAATTCGAAAAAAATATAAAACTAATAAACTCGAACCCTCTGGGCGCATGCTGTTCAGCGTTTAAAAGACGTTCACCAAATAAAAAATAAAATTAATAGCCAATATCGACTTTAATAAAAGTCGATATCTAATTACGTCGCCATTCGTTATAATTATCGATTCGATTTCTCTTGGTACCGCGGATGTTAAACGGGTACCCGAAGCTATTTCCGCCTAGTCGTTTAGATGAAAGGAACAGTCGAGTGAAGGTACGCACGCGTATCAAATTCTTAATTCCTATGAACGATATGATCGATCAATTCTCGGTTCGAGTCAGCCTTAACGTGTGATCAATATCAATTTAATTTCTTCCACACTTACACTAGCAATATGTTTAACTTTTTTACTCCAACAGTGTATCACAATTATTTATAATATGTGTATTCTATATATTTTTTTCTCCAGTAACTGGACCAGAACTGTTCAGTTTCTCACAGGGATAGGAGAATGGGTGCAGATATAGAAGGGGGACAAACACAATAGGCCTTACAGGTCGCAGTGTTTCCGGCAGAGGACGGCATCTTGTCATGAAAAAAAAATACTCGAAGGAATTTTGCAGGACTTACTTTATTTAATGCAGATTCTGTAGGGAAAATGGAGAAACATCAAAATATCTCATCACTGAGTGCGCCACGCCGAGACGACAATCATTCGTGCCATAAACTTTAAACAGTCGCGGATACTGGCTTTAGTCAAAGCCTTGAGACTCTATGAAAAGTTGTAACTCAGGAAAGGGGGACGCAATAGATTTTTTAAATAATTTTTAAAATTTTTGCTTATTTTTAGCACTGGTGTTTTAAAAACTAATGATGTAATGAACAATATGTATGATTTAATTCAATTTTTCTTTAAGAGTGTACAGAGAAAGCAACGAGCTTTTCAACGATGTGCTACAGCTAGTTTAAGATTTCGACTTAAAACACCAATACTTAGATCAGACACACCCTGTAGTTTGTTAATCATAAATATACCAACAATGCATTTTTAGAAATCGACCACGCACAACTTGCATATATATGACTGCCCACTAAATGTGTTAATTGTGGTAATGGTTTATCTAAATATTACAAATATTGATTTTAAATCAACAATTTAATTAAATAAAGTTTTATTTTGCAACTCACTCGTTAGCCAATTGAAAATAGGTATTTTTAAATCAATGTACATATGTATTGCAGAACAGTGGCGGGTACTAGAAATAGTAATTAAATAATAAGTCAGAAAAGTACAAAGTAAAGTTTTATTGTAAATAAGGATACTAAAAAATTCAAATAGTGAATATAATATTCAGTCAAAAACAATCTAAATTTGTGATCCAAATATCCGAAAAAAACTCTGAAAACTCAAAACTCAAAATGACAGAAAACAAAATCTACTTTTGAATTAAAATGACATACAACTAAACTCTGTCAGGAGTCACGGAAGATTTCGACAGATTACACCCAACAAATAACAGAAAGTACAATTTGCCTGTGAATTACAATGACATATACAACTGTCACTGTCAGGGATTCTCCTGTTGGACCGACTATGCTGCCGCTGTCGTACCTTCTTTCGTTTGAAGTGCTAAACTTAAACATCTTTAAAAAAGGTCTATACCTCTATTAGGAAACATCTTAGTTTTAACCAAGAAGTAATAATTTTCTTTTTAAATGTTTAATTTAACTATTATTCTTCAGTTGATCTGGCTAAACCTCACCTGCACGCCACTGGTGACTACACTCGACCCACACGACGTAAACAACGCGTCGCCATAGCACATAGGAGGAAGTGGGTGTCTAGATCGACCATCTGGGTCTTGGTCGTACCCCAAACAGACCAAACTCGAGCCCCAGTGACATTTTTCTTAACGGCATCTCTGTGTTTTTCGGTATTAACTCAATATAGAGTGATTTCTGGATGTGTTCGGTGATGAAATATGAAGTTTTTCTGATAATAATAGTACCAGATGCTGTAATAAGGTCAATGGGTCGGCCGTACTGCAACGAAGCTGGAAAGTTTATGTTATTGTATACGTTTGATACGTAACCGGGGCGGTACCACTGTTTGATTTATTCTTGACCATATGATTGTCGCTTGTTTTCTTTTAATTTATGTACGGATCGTACGTAAATGAGCTAAGTAAGGATAGGTTCTGTGGATTTGATGAAGTCATATGTGGTTTTAAACATAACAGAACAATAATATAGAGAGCTTTGAGAACTTAGTTTCTTTAAACTAACCGTCTAACTGCACTGTAACGATATATATTTGCTATGGGGGTGAGTTAAAGCAGTTTACAATAGGGGTTATAAAAAATATGTTTAGAAATCCTTGTTGGTAGTTTACATTATTGTCGTTTTTAACTGATTTTAATGTTTCTAATTGTTCCAGGTAATTTAAGCGTCTGCCTTTTGTTTCTCTAGTATTTTAACTAGTATTCTTACGACTTATTATTTCAACAATGTTTCACGAAAAAAAAACAACCACAGACTTAGTATATGTAATAACAAAAATATACTTCTTGTTATATTTAACACAGTGTTATCATCAGACCTGTAAAACAAGCAGAGATCCAAATTAAAATCGTTTCGTATAAAGAATGTTATTAAAAATATTGACCAGGAAAAAGAAAACCAGTTATGGCTCGCTCATCTTTTACTTGTAATGAGACATCCAATAAAGAAAACGTGATTTCGACCCCGAGTTTCTTTTATTTTCTCGAAAAGCAAGCCATCTCGAACACGTTCCATATAAGTAAGACCGCTACCAACTTGAGTTATATCACGTATTGTATACACTTCTTCTGTTACAGTGTAACATTTTTTCTCACCAAAAATACAACCTCGTGTCGTAATTACAGTCCGCAACTGTAGCAATTATCAATAATATGAAAAAATGTACGCCGAAACAAGTCATTCGAGTGATTTTTTTCACTGTACAGGGTATACAATTATCGTGTATTATACAGGGTTTCTCGTTTATGGCTAGATGTACAGGGTGTCTCATTTTAGCTGAAATCATACGGTATCTCCCTTATTAGCAAAGATGGGAGGATGCGGTTTGCCCAAACCTGTCCCACTTTTTTGCCAAACGGAACATGCCGTAAACAAAATTTTCATAGCCCTCTTCGGTTCTGAGAGGGTCTTTTTTAAAATTTTGCAATTTGGGACAACCCCTGTTATTGTTAAATGTATCGAGAAGGTGAAAACTGTTTATTGTAGAACTTTTTACGCAGAATACAGTGACGAGTCTGTTATTCTACGAAAAGAATATTTTTAAACATATGAACTAAAAAATTAATAAAGTAGTTTTCTTAGATGGAACACCCTGTATATTATATTATAAATTACACCTGGTAATAGTTTAAAAATAAAATATGTCAATCCCAAATAAAATTTTAATATGTGTATGACTATTTTAGTAAATACCATTTTGATTTTTTTGTTATTTATCACGGCCCACTAATAAGAAAATTATATATTTTAAATATTACAGTAAATAGTAAAAATAAATATAGAGTGATATATATTTTTGAGAAGCTCATAGCAAGACGGATCATATGATTTATAAATATACAGGGTGTTCTATTTGAAAAAACATAATTTTAGTTCATATTTTCCTACTACGCCAATGTATTCTATATAAAAAGTTCTACAAGAATCAGTTTTCACCTTCTCGATATCATTCGTA